GGGGCGGGCGGGGGAGCCGTGCCCCGCTCCGCCGGACCCTGCCGAGGGACGCCCGGGGCAGAGCCGGGCCGGGGGGGCTGAACAGGAGCTCGCTGCGCCCGCGGCGGCACTTGAAGGGAGAGAGTTGGAGCAAAGAGGAAAAGCACCATCAGACCCAGATCACAGCGCAATCCTGCTCACCCTGCCTGCTGCTTCTAAAGTGAATGTGCAGAGCTGCTTTAGGGTAGTGAAAAGAATCCACAAGTAGTCATTCACCCCCTCTCTGAAACACCAAAAAACTTACCAAAAATCTCCTTCCGTTTAACAGCTGGCAGCATAATTTAGTCTCACTATGTTTGGAAAAGAAAGGTGAGACACTCCCTGGGACAGCCCACCTCACTTATAACAATCCGTGTCATCAAATACAGCTGGTAGAGAGAGGACAAGGAATGACATACCAGGTAACAGGCTAATCGTAGCCTTCCCTTCTTCCAGCCACACCTGTCCCATATCCTAAAGACAGCATCACAGCAAGGCCATGAGCAGAAGATCTTCCCTCATTGACCAGAAGCTGCTGAGAAGCTGCAAGAGCTGCAGGGTAAGACCATGCCATGAGCAAGCTGTGGTTTGCCCTTCAAGATGAGCTCTGGGGCAAAGCTGCCACAGACAACTGCGGGTTTCAGACTCTTATAACACAGCTTTACAATTTGGACAACCAGTCCATCATTGCTGTCAACAACATTGCTGTCTCTAGGGAGATGTATAGAAGATAAAAACACCCAATATACCATAGTTAACTGCAAGAAAGGCTAAGTATGTATATATAGTAAATAAACTGCAAAATACCTGTAGGCACAGGCGAAAAGGACCAACTCTGCACCAACTAAAAGCATATAGCTCATTATGAAAGGCCTCATTTATTTGGCTACAGGAAGGAACGGGCACTTTGGTAAGGTACTCCAACATGACTCAGAAGTTCTGCTGCTTGGCAGAACTAGCCCTCTAAAGCTTTTTTTTTTTTTTAAGTAGCGAGATCTTGAATTTGGCTCAAGTTGGATTTCTTTTTTCTTAAAGCAAAGCTTTTAGACTACTCAGTGATGCTTACAATGTTCTTGCTGCATGATTAAAGGCTGGAAATTCATATTTTCTCAAAGCAAAACCAAAGGTTTTTGTTTTGTGGTTTCTGGGTAGACAAAAGCATCTTAAAATGCCTTGTAGTAACAGAAGGGAAAGCGTTAAGGCAGCAGTGGCAGCTGCCCATGGTCTTCTATTTCATGGTGTTCCAGGACTTACCAGTCCAAAGATGTTGTAACTGCCCTAAGAGGATGCCAAGTTCAGGACCACATAATTGTTTACTTAGCAACTCTTCCTAATTACACAGCACTGTTGTGAACTGATAGTACACTTTGTTTCAATGTTAATACGTTATGCATCTGCTGGCATTTAAAAAGCCTTTGCTGACCACTAACATATCCACATAATCGCACTTCAGAAAGCACTGACACTGTCTATGCACTAATGCACCACCCAGAACTGGTCTTTTCTTCATTTTGGCAGAAAAAAAAGAAGTCACATTCTCTGCTGAAGGCTGAGCAGCAGAGAGTGCTGTGCCCAACTTGCCCACAGCCAGCCGGGGGGTGACCTCTAGTGGCCCACAGCACTGCTTGCCTCCCTTCCCAGTCTACACCAGTTAATATCTTTCTACTCTATTTTTTTTTCTTTACGTTATCTCCTGGATTTCAATCTCCTTTCTGTAACAGGGTACTGAGTGCTTGGTGTTGTGATCCTAAATCCTGCGAGTACAGGTCTGCAGATGAAAGAAATGGTAAAAAGCAGCATGGCCTCGACAGGCATTCTCAGCCTCACAATGGTGCTGTGGCTGCTGCTTGTAAGCATTTGGGAACAGTAAAGAATAATTATTTGAGAAGTAAGGTCATCCTGCACTTCGCAGCCCAGTATTGCAGACAATAGTCACTGAACAATTGCCTTGAATTCAGAATGCAGAAATACAGCAGACAAATGGAGGGGAGATGTGGGACCCAAGAACAATCTACAAGGGGTGGATGGATGACACTTCAGAACTGGCAAAACAGGTAAATATGCATGGCCACTTAGTGAAGATCATAGATACTGCCACAAAAATTACAAAAAAATCCAACAGTAACATCAAAGAATTTTGCAGGTAAGTATTTGTCTCCATTTCTCCTCCAGACCTTGCAGTTGAGAAAAGCTCAGGTACTGCAAAGAGTGAAAACAAACTGAACACAACTTATCTCCCCCACAACAAATCATATGCAATGGGATGCTCCTTTGCTATATACATATGAATAAAGAACAGATTGTGCTGATGCACACTAAGTATGGCAAACTGGCTGTTTCTGAATAAGTAAATTTCAGGAAGAATGCAAACCTCCATTGGTATTCTGGACCTGGACAAGGCCACTAAAGAGACAACGGTTTAGTAAAAGGACGGTGCTCAGGGTTTCCCTACTGTGCAGCTGACAACCGTTTGCTCAAGTCTATGGATCTTAATATTTGAAGGGTTACAAAGCAGGCTGAACAAAGCTGGAAATACAGAGCAGGAATTTGGATCACTGAAGGGTGTTTCAGCCTTCATAAAAATAAACTGAACAGGGTCTACAATCTCATTTCTCTTTTGGTTAACTGGAGAAGCACCCCCGCTGCAGAAAGCAGGGTATTTCTGCTGCTGCAGACAGGTCTCTAAGGCACACTGGACACTCAACAAAAAGTTAACACTTGCTTTACATTTTCCACTAAATAAGAAGAGAGATATTAGAATAACTTCTTGAAACAGTCCTGCTTTGATTGTCCAAGTTTCTTCTCTAAACAGACAGCCTAGCAAGCAAATATTATGTTAACCTACCAGCATCTGACTACATGAACATCAAAGATAAGGCAGCCTGTTCAGCTGATCAGAAATAAAGCCTCTTTAGGCACAGAGAAATAACAATACCTCCAGCCCAAGAAAAGATGACTCTGTCTCCTGAATTTGCCTAGAATAATAGGACCAAGAAAATAACGGGATAGTCACTCCTTTATGAAATAAAATCAGAGGCATGGGGGTCCAAAAACACAAGTGTAAGTGTTAACAACCAGAGACCAAAGCAATTTCAAAGAAGCTGAATTATACCAAGTTTCTCACAATGAAAGTTCTAATCACCAAGAAATGTACAGGCTCTTCTCTTCCAACAAACTAAAAGGGGAAGGCTTTGTAAACAAAGTAGAATTTCCCAAGTGTTAGGTCACTTCAGTATAGGCAGGTATGCTCTAAACACATTTGCCATGTTTACTTCATTATCTATTCCAAGCTGAAACTATAATACTTAAGCTAAACTGTTTGTTCAGCTTAAATAACGAACATTAGCTAAGATGAAAAGAAGTGTTTTTATTGCAAGCAGAGTGAGCAGGGAGTGGGCTGCATCTCACATGAGTGTGACAGAGGGCAGATTTAACCCACCCACCCTTCTGGTTTTAGTGCTCATTGTTGTCAAGTGTACATCATTTCTGCCATGTGAGACATTTTCTTTGGAATATACAGGTAATACTCCATGTATCCCGAAAGATCTTCAATAGTCACATCATCCACAAAGGCCCTGGCTTGCTCAGAGCAAGAGCGTGGAGAACTTGAGGGAGTTCTTGATGGCAAAGCCTGGGAGTTATCCTCAGAAACTGTTCTAGCAGGTGCCAATTGGAGAGTGTTCTGTAAGCCAGAGAATTTGTACACTTCCATATCTTGCCATCGTTTACACTGACAGGCTTTATCTGCACACACACACGGCTTATTTGTGTTCAGCTTGGACATGGATTCAAAGTCAGAAAGCTCCGTAGTCTTTAGGCTTGCTTTGGATGTCAGAGAAACAGCAGCTGGAGAGTTGTCCTGTTTGTTGTCTGATGCTGACTGTGCAACAGAAGCTCCCAAAGATTCAACATCAGCACCCTTCTCGACAATGTCAGGAGCAATACTGCATCGTTCATGTGCACAAGCTTCCTTTGGGACTGGCATCCCAAACCTAGCGCTGTCTTCTGCAGCATCAATCTGGCTCTTGTGCACTAGCTGCTTGCACATGGAATGTGAAGTTGTGCTGCAATGGATAAACTTCGGAGGATGAAGAATTGGAGACTTGGAACGTCTGCGACGCTGGGTTCTCACAACTCCTCTTGAAGGCTTCTTCACAGACCTACCAAGGAAAGATACAAAAGGGAGTGAAGATTCACTAAAACACTGATCACTGGTTTACAAATAGCATTGGGCAAAATCTCTAATGTATTTATATTGCATATGAGAGCTTTAAGCTCAGAGTACTTGCTCAAAGTATTCTCCATCTTGAAATCTGACTTTGTTCTAGTCAAGCAGCTGTATAAAATAGAAAAGGGACACCTGAGAAGTGAAACCTAAAGTGCATGCTTTTACAATTAGAAAATGAGTTAAGCACGTGAGACAAGAAAATAACCTAAGAGAAGAACAAAGCAGAAGACAACAGCACAAAACTAACAAATCAAGGCTAAAGGTTAGTTTTGTTTCAGTAGGATATTAGCGTGAAGTTCTGCATAGATACTCCAGAAACCAATTTTTTATTTTAATCTAGTTCCCAAGGCACACTGACAGCTTCTGCAATATCAAAGTTTCTGAAAAACATTTATTCATAATTGTCCAACTCAAAAACAGCAGTTCACATTTATATGAAGAAACATCTATAAAGTTAGAAACATTTAGCTGAATAGCATTTCCTTTTACTTCATATGAACAGAAAAATGTGGTGTAGAGTATTTTAAAGAGTCCCTTTATTAAAGAAAAGTTGGTTTCCTTGTGTAGGGGTGTAGTTTCTAATAAACTTGTCTACGTAACATCCCCTTTCAATGCAGTGTCATTTGAAGTAGCCTGGTAATCCCAAGCTTCTCTTACCCGTGCCAGGTTTCCTTAGAAGTGCACACATTCTTAGGTTTGGTTTCATCTGCCACTGTTCTGACTAGTGCTCTAGGACTTGTCCCTTCACCCACAGAGGGAGAAGCAGTAGACCTGTGAAAGAGAGAATGAAAAGTTAACAACCTTAATGGTTAGCATTATGAATATGAAAAGGCTTATAAATCCTCTTTCCCAGAAAAGATTGACATAAATCGTTTACACTATGTCTTAAAAGACCTGCCCACAAAGACAACCCAAATCAGAAAGATAGTGTTTACACATTCTATCTCAAAAGTCTGACTCTTTCACCAACCATGATGCCATTCAGCAACTAGACTGCAAATTCAAACTCCACACGTCAATGACTAAGCACACACAATGGCTAAATTTCTGTTCCCCGGGAGAGGGGAGGGGAAAAACACCATCACTGAAGAAACACGTCTCTTTTTCCAGAGACAAATAAGCCATTCTTTCCTAAAAATAAATGTTCTTTGGACATAAATAGACTTTGTTTAACTGAAGAACACTCAAGCCTCTGTCTAGGGCTACGTAAGCTAAATCTCTTCATACTATTGCAAGTTCAATCACTTGAGAAACCGTTGTGTCAGATCTTCAACTTCTATTCAAGTCAGGAACCTCAGAAGATTTACTAATTTTTCTGGTGTTTTCATCCCAAACTCCCAGTTTCAAGGAGCTGTGAAAATCCCAAGAATAATTTTTCCAAGTTGTGAGTTCGCTGGAATTCAGGAGGAATTTTCCAAATCCTCTATAAAATTGGTTTGAAAGCAAGGCTGATGCCCTGAAACGTGAAAATAAGTCTCCAAACATTGTTCTAGGACAGCTTTAACTGATACTTAACAGAGACTAAACTATTAGTCAAACACCTGCTATTTTCCACTTAAAGAACAACAGAAAACACAGAGCAGTAAATTGAAGACCAACAGTAAAAACTCCAAAGTAATTAAGTGTGCCTGACTTGGCAGTGGGACTAGAGATACTGAACAAATGAGAGGCACCTGGGTGGTGATACATTTCTAACAAGTTTAATTACTTAAATGAAAGATAACTTCAGAAGCACATTTACTCACCCTCTAAGTTCTATGGTAATTCAAGTTACAACCTTGATACTTACATACTGCCTTACCTGCACTTTCATTTCAGTCAGTGCCATAATTGTGTCACTGACAATAGTTTACTGAAACATAGTATTACAAAAATAATATGTAATGGTGCACATTTGTCAGCAGAAAAACCACATTATATAGATGCCTTCTTTTTTCTCCCCTCCATTTCAGACAGAAATGATTGCCACCAACCAAAGACACATCCTGCTTGTGTTCTGCTACCTGGGACTGGGAGGTTAAGTGCCACGTGTCAGAACTCCCAGAAAACCAGACAACACAAAAAGCATTCTTTCCCATTTAATGATTTTGGTTATAAATAGGAAATTTGTAAGAGACATCAATAAAAATAGTTTGTGTGGGAATCATGCACTGAATCTAATGTTCTTTTTTACTGACATGGAAAGAACGTTTTTCTCCTAGGACAAGATGGGAGATTATTCTCATGACAGGCCTTCAGAGCCATGACAATATGCTAACTTCAACAGCAGAGTTCTAGTGCCATGAACATAACCTCTGGCAGCCACATTCATGACAATATTAATTTCAAGCATGCTGTCAACTGCTGACTATTGTTAGGTTTGTTTCAAGCCTGTTTGTGAGCTAACAATGACCAACCAAACTACAGTTCCTTCAGAAGTGCAGAATTTATCTCAATTTGTTTAGCTAGAATGAAGGCCTTCAGTGCCTCACCTTTTGGAATTACCTCATTCCTTCAAATTTAGCAGTAAGGGTGCTCCCTTCGAGTCTGTTGGTAATATGTTAACTCCATCCCTCCCTGTGGTGTTACTTACCCAGCTGAGTCAACTCTTAGCTTTTTGAATGCTGTCTGCAGGCTTTCCTCTTCTCCATCCTTAGCTTCCGTTTTCATTATTGGGGTGGCCAGAAGCTGACAGAGTTACCATGTGCAGCTACAAGCAGAAAAGAGACATGACTGTAAGAACCTTGTTAAAAACATTAGTTGCCCAGCAGCATCAAAATACATGAAAATAAACTCAAAATAGCACACTGAGCATACAAAGCTGAGGTCATTCTAGCAGAACATTTTTGAAAGATGATTCAGAACAAGCTTCATGATACTCAAGAATTGAACAAACAGTCTCTTGTACAACTGCATAGGTGAACTAGCAATTTAAAGTAAAATTTGGTGTCGATAGTGTCTTGCACATCCATAACAGTTTAGACAGACTCTCTTTATTTGTCTTAGGGTGTTACCAGAGTAACTCCAGAAGAGGTGAAACACAAGAAGGAGCACCACCATCAGAAACAGTCAACTTTCTACAACTATTTCTGACTTTGGGGCTTGATGTTACACATACATTAAAAATAAACGACAAAAAACCACCACCCAAAAACAAAAAACCCCAACCAAACAATAAAGCCAAACCAAAAACCAAAACAACAGATCTTTCTTAAAACAAGGTAAGTTTTCAGCTAAACAACATATTTTGATCTTATGTTTAGATCCCAGCAAGAGTAACATACTCCTATCAGGACATGATATTTTGATTGCAAATAGCTATTAAAATCTTCTGGCATCAGAAGAAGCTCTTGCACAAGTACAAATGCTAATAGCAGTAAGAACACCAAACAAGAAACATTATTCTAAATAAAAAAGGGATTGATAAAAACTGGCTGATGTATTTCTTTAAAATCTACCCTGGGCATAATTTAATCTACCTACAAAGGAATCTCAAATCTTTCTAGATTTGATGCCCTTCAGTACAGTTCTGCAATCACTTCCACATCCTGCACCAGCTACACTTTCATTAAAAAATACTGGATAAAGGTTTGCTTCCATAGAATGAGCTTTGCTTTTGCTGAGCAGCAACCACCAAGAGTAGCGAGTCAGCTCCATACCAGCCTACCTTAAGGTCAGCATGTGTTGAAGATTACCTGGCTGATTAACCTGCTTCATTTAATGTTTCCCACTTTTCTACTTCTAGAAAAAACAGCCCATTTGGTGTGGGTGCTGTTACTGAGCAAGCCTTTGGCCACATTGTGTGGGCTGTGGTGAGGTTGTCTCAGTGGAGTTTTCTTGTTTGTTTGCATTTTTGTTTGTTTGTTTTTTGGTTTTCTTTTTAAATGACAAGGTTGTCTGACTTGACAACATTCCACAATGAAATGAGAAAGGGGTTTACAGGAACCCCACAAACTTCAACAAGAGGAAGTGCAAAGCCCTGCCCCTGGGCAGGAACAAGCCTACATGCCAGTACATGTTGGGAGCCACCCAGCTGGAAAGCAGCTTTGCAGAAAAAACGCCCTGCAGGTCCTGGTGGACACCAAGAAGGACATGAGCCAGTGGTGTGCCCTTCTGGCAGAGGGACTAATGGTATTGTCCTGGTTTGAGCTAAGTAGAACTAATTTTCTATTTAGTGATTTTTACTTTTCACCTCAGTCTCTTTTAAGTGGCAGAACTTGCTGAAAACTAGCAGGATGTTTTTCCAAGACAGTGTGTACTGATAACGTTCAAGGCCAAGTGTCTCACCATGGGTGCTGTGTCTGTGCCTGCGTGGGGGGAAAAGTGGACCCAAAACTGACCAACTAGGTATTCCATCCCACATACATCATACTCGGTATAAAGCCGAGAGATCACGAGGCTCTCAACCCTTCTTCCATCTTGAAGCCCTTCCATCTTGGACCCTTTCGTCTGGCTCGGATCCTGATTCATGTGTTCCTGCATCCTGCTCCCAAATGCTGCTGAGTCTGGTCTGGGACTTTTCCAGTGCCCTGCTCTGCAGAGCCTCTGGTGACATATACATCACAGGGGGGAGGATTTTATATTGGTTTTGGATATATTTGTACATATCTGTATATATTTCATTATTTTTCTATTTACATTATTATCCTGTAGTATTAGTATTATTGTTTTATTAAACCTGTTAGTTTTATTTTCCAACCCATAGTCTCTCTCCCTTATTCTCTTTTCTCTTCCTTTCTGGGGAGGGAAGAGGAGTTAATAGAGGGCATCTGTCCAGGATCCAGTGGCTGGCCCAGCCCTAAACCACGACAGGTGATCCAGTTGCTGGCCCAGCCCTAAACCACGACAGGTATCCTGGGCCACAGGTCAAGGGAGCTGATCCTTCCCTCTGTTCAGCACTGGTGAGGCCACAGCTGGAATGCTGTGTCCAGCACTGGGCTCCCCAATACAGGAGACACAGACATGCTGAAGAGAGTCTGGTGACAGGGCACAGAGATGGTAAAGGGACTGAAGCATCTCTCCTGTGAGGAAAGGCTGAGAGGGCTGGGACTGTTTGGCCTGGAGAAGGATCAGGGGGATCTCATCAATGTATATAAATCCTGTAAGGAGGGTACAAAGAGAACAGAGCCAGACTCCTCTCAGTGACAGGACCAGAGGCCACGGGGCACAGAAAACTGAAACGCAGGAGGTGCTGTCTGAGCATAAGGAAACACTTCTGTGCTGCGAAGGGGACTGAGCACTGGCACAGGGTGCCAAGGAAGGCTGTAGAGTCTCGTTCTATGGAGATACTCAAAAGCTGCTTGGATATGGTCCTGGGCAACCGGCTTGGAGTGACCCTCCTTGAGCAGAAGGGCTTGGACCTCCAGGAATCCCTGCCAACCTCAACCATTCTGTGATTCTGTATCTTCCTGAAGCTCTAAGAATCCATTACAAAGGTAACTACTCACATCCAGCAAAGGGAAACAGCTCCTGTGACAAGAACATATTTACACAGAGCACTAACTCTACCTAGTAATACAACAATAATGCTTATGTTAGCGGTGCTTTTACCAACTCAGCACCGGCTTTTTTGTAGCATGGAAGAGCAAAGGTCTTGGTGAAGAGAAGGGAGAAATCTGAATCTCTGCAGCTCAGTTACGTATGCAAATACAGAGTGATAACTTCTGTTCTCTCACAGCCTCCTTCATGTTGGAGGTGGCAGCTCTCCCCCCTGCTGTTCCCTCCGCTATGGTATCATCTGGATGCTCTGTCTTGCAGACAGCTTTTATGACACACACAAAAAGATAATGTGTCCTAACAACCCCAAGGCACACGTTGGCCAGTGAGTCAGACAGCACATAAACATGAGAGGAGGAACATGGAGACTGACAACACGATGCTCATCTGAGCAAGTTATTATTTTAGATACTGTCTCAGTTATAGATGACTAATCTGATGAAACATATGGTCCCTATTTCACAAAGTATTTTTTCCTTGAACAGAAGGTTCTTTAAAAATAAAAATTCAGTCTATGACCTTTCTTTAAAAAAAAAAAAAGACCAAACCCCTGTATTACATAACCTTCACATGAAAATGGCAGTAAAACACTTTTAAATCATTGTACATTATTCAAAACATACTATCAGCTTTAGACTAAATATTTTACTGTGCTGTCCTTCATCACTGACACTATAAGCCCTCAAAACAAAGATAAAAACCCATTCACTCTGTGATAATTTAAGCTTAAGCATTTCAGATACACCAGTCAACGAGCACTGATATCAAGGAAAAAAAGTGAATTACCGTGAAAAACAACAGAAGTTTAACGTTGTGTCAGAAAACACACTGAAACCGCTGCTTTTTATCTCCTAGGAAAATACACGTCCATGCTTTCCCCGTTTATTTCCAGCTCTTTCCCAGCAGCACAGGACCACGCACCCACCACCTGTCGCAGCGTTATGACGGTGCCACGCACAAACGCGCGTTTGGCTTCAAACAGAGGCGTGTAAAGGGATTAAAAGCCCCGAGACGCTCCCGGTCGAGGCCTTGGGCAACAGCAGACCTCACCGAGCGGGGTGCAGCTGCCCGTGGACGGCACACGGGCAGGGACCAGCAGCAGCGCCCCCCGGCCGCCGGGCCCCGTCCTCCGGGCGCTTCACGCGCTTTCACGTCCCCGTCCCAGGGAGCCCCCC